AAGCAATCGCCGTCCTTGGCAGGGTAAGGAAATTGCATACACGGAAGGCCTGCAGTGAAAAACACCATTGTCAGATGTTGAAGATTGCATATAAAGAGAGGCACAAGAGACAGCCAGGCCAGCCAAGATGCAAAAGGCACACACGACGGTGCAACGCTGCACCACATCGCAACGAAGTCGCACAAAAGAGGAAGCACTTCTGCACATTCACACCTGAAGACAACAGGCAAACTGCAGAGAATTGGAGGAATGTGTTGCAGGGAATCCATAGCTTGGCCACCAGTGTGTCTTCACCATCGCAGCATGTCCTTCAAACTCTGAAAACGCTTTCACCCCTTGCAACAAGCACATCCATTTCACCTGTCTGGTTTACGCTTCTAAATATGAGATGGCATTTCTCACTTGCAATGAGCATCAACAAGTGGGCAAGGAGGGGGACCAGTGGCATGGCCATAATCCGGGGGGAAAGGCAGCATGTGCACCCTGGCGGTTCAGTAGGGCTAAAACAAGGGGTGCAGATGTGCTGACACTTCAACCCAGCTGTAGATGCCAGTCTTTTGGATAACACTATTAGCCCTGGAGAGGAAGGAGTGAAGATCATATCAGGTCATTGCGTGCACAAGCACTCCAATGTGCCCTTTGTGACTGGTTCATACAAAAAATACCTTCACAATATACAGGTGTCAAACAGCATCAGCGATCACTTGATGGATGTCAAGCTCAATGCTTTGAGCTTACAGCAAGAGCAGTACCCACATAGTTCCTTCCTTAGCCATAAAAACAAGAAACGGGAGGACAGGAATTCTCAAACAGCCAGATGCTCCTAATTCTTAGATTGCAAATCTCACTTGCAATGAGCATCAACGTGTGGGCATGGAGGGGGATCAGTGGCATGGTCGCGATCAGGGTGGAAAGGCAGCACGTGCAGCCTGGCTGTTCAGTTGGGCCAAAACAAGGGCAGATGAGCTGACATTCCAACTCACCTGTAGTCACCATTCTCTTGGAGACAAATTGTCGGCCCTCGGGCGGAATGTGTGACAATCAGGGCTGGTCATTACGTGAACAAGCTCTCCAATGTGCCCATTGTGTGTCTGGTTCATACAAAGAATACCTGCACAACACACAGGTGCCTATTGGTATTAGTGGTTGCTTGATGGATGTCGAGCTCAATGCTTGTGGCTTACAGCAAGAGCAAAATACCCACACAGTTCCTTAGCCATCATCAACAAATAGGCAGACAAGAAACCTCAAGCAGCCAGATGTTTCTAATTCTGAGATGGCATTTCTCACTTGCAACGAGCATCAACGTGTGGGTATGGAGGGGGACCAGCGGCATGGCCACAATCAGGGTGGAAAGGCAGCATGTGTAGCCTGGTTGTTTGGTTGGGCCAAAACAAGGACTGCAGATGAGCTGAGACTCCAACTCACCTGTAGAGGCCATTTTCCTGGAGGCAAACTATCGGCTCTGGAGCGAAATGGGTGATGATCAGGGCAGGTCATTGCGTGAACAAGCTCTTTAATATGCCCATTGTGTGTCTAGTGCATACAAAAATACCTGCACAACATACAGGTGTCGATCAGCGTCAGCGGTTGCTTGATGGATGCCAAGCTAAATGCATTTGGCTCACAGCAAGAGCAGTGCCCATACAATTCCTTGGCCACCAAAATGGGAGGGCAGCGATTCGCAAACAACCAGATGAATAGCACTGCAAATATGTAGAATCATCGCATTGCAATACAATTATCCAGTATTGCAAGGTGAAGGGGAACACATCATAACCAAAGAGTGTGAAATTGCTTTACAAAAGTGACACCTGCACTATGCTCACACAAAATCTTCAAACCAAGGTCGCCTTGCTCAGTCTTGACCAAGGGAACCTTGCCATTCTGGGGGCTGCAACGGGTGTCTCAGGGCATCAGGTACACACACAACACACTGAATTGGCCAGCCACCGCCTGTCCGTGGTTATGCAAGTTGGTTGAGGTTGTGTCAATAATGGAGCACAACATAGGCAACATGAATTCAAAGACAATGGATTACAATGATTACAACACGGAGCATAACATAGGCAACAAGAATCCAAAGACAACATATTACAATGATCGCAACGTGAAATAGTTGTTGCACCCTTCTTAATCACATGGGCTGCTACACCAAAACAATGACAAAGAACAAAATAAAGGCAGCGCCTCTATTCGTTGCCTCCTTTGCCAATCGCTGCGCCTTCCTCGCCACCCCCTTTGCCTTCCTTGCCATCCTTGGCCTTTGCAGCTGCCGCGCCCTCTTTGGATGCCTTCGCCGCTATCTGCCTCATATTCCTCAACTTCTGCCCCATAGCAATGTGGATGCTCTCAAGGGAAACATTGTTGTCTGCTCCCTCTTTGAGAATGGCTTGGTGGGCCTTCGGGGACAAAACGTGGAAATTCTTCCACAATGGTGGTATTGGACTCCCAATAGAGTCTTCCACCGGGAGCGTATCCATCACTTCCTTGATGGTTTTTTACTATGCCCGGTGCACATTGGGGGGGATGTGCAGCCGGGTTGGGCAGCCACTTACATAAGTATGGAACTTGATGTCAGCTAGGTAAAATTAGCAGTGTACTGCAACATCTTGTGACATAAGACGCAAAGACACTGACTTGAGACAACAGAAGAAAATGGCTACTAGAGGATGGCAGCCTGAAACAGACAGAAACGCGAAGACGCCCACGACCACATTTCCCACAACACTGGTGCATTCCTTGCACACTCCACTCCCAAATTTTGCGCATCATGTCGTTCGTTGTCTCTCGCGTTTCCCGGCACCCTGACTCACCCCATCCTCTGGTTGCTCCATGCCGCGCAAATCCAAACGTCACGAGGCGAATCTGCCGGCTGCCCAGGTACAGCTGCCCGAGCGCCCCCCCCCTCCTTGCTGCTGCCGCAGTGGCCAACCTGCGCCGGCCTGGGCCCGCGGACCCCAAACCTGAAAAGTATAAGCGTGTCACAAATAGACGTGAAAACCAAAAAAAAGACAAGGGGGCGGGTGGGATCGAGGATCGGCGTCTACTGCTCGGCCGCGGAGGCCGGCGGCCGGCGTCAGGGCCGGTGGGCGACGCGCCGCCGGGATACACCACTGCGGATGGGAGAAAACAGCCGATTAACTGATAAAACAAAACAGCGGGCGAAAAGTAGCAACTCAACCAATCGAGCCACGTCTCCCGTCCCGCGGCCGTCGGAAAATTGACGCCGCGTTGCATGGATCGACCTACCCGAACCCCCCGCGCCTACGCCTGGCGCAAGCCGCGATCGCAGCCGTGGATGGAAAGATGTGTCCACTTGACCCCCACACCCCGTCCCGTGGACGTCGCGATAATTGACGCCGCGGTACCACGGCATCCTTGAAACGGTTCAAGTATGAAGATTCCTGGGACTGCACAACAGTCCGCCTGGCGCACGCCTGGGGAGGCGACCCGACGCGACCCCACCGGTGGAGGCGCGCGGCGCCAGCGAAGTACGCAGATGAGTTGTGACGTGGTGAGCACGCCGACTGGATGTCGAGACAAACACCAAACTGGCAGGCATCCCGACACGAACAGATTGGAAATTGGGTCCCGGGCGCCGATGGGCCTCTCACCTGGCCGCCTTTCAAGGCGCCAAGAAGTGGCCGATTGGTGCTGCCTCGCGCCTGGGCGCTCGCAACCGGTCAGGGGAACTGACCCACGGGGCGGCCGTCCAAGTTGACCGCGTCGCCGCCTTCGCGACCGGCCCGACAAATGCGGCGTGGGGGTTTGGGCTGCCTGCTGCCAGGCCATCGACTCGGCGGTGGGACAGTAGTTAAGGCCAGCGGCCTGTCTTTCTGTCCCCTTCGGACCGTTTCTGCATAACTTCTGGTCGAGGGGTGGAAATTTGCTTGCGGGCCGAAACGGCTGACAGCCTGTTTGGCGGTGCGTCAGCGACTTGCTGCCTCAACGCCATGATGACGCACAATTACACGCCCAGGCTTTGTTCCAGTGACGATGGAAAAGTTGGCAACCCTGAATATATCCAGGGCATGGCGATACTCCGGTTGTGGGCGCCATGTCCTGGATGTGCCTGTCCAGGGTATCATGCCCTTGTGCCATTCGATATCCCAGATAGGGCCTTTTGCCGATGGACGATAGAATGGCAGTCTGTGGCAATCTGAGAGATCTAACAGATTCAACAACAAGGTGTAAGATTATGGCATGTGGTGAGAATGGCCTGGATCGCGTCATTTAGCTTCTCTTGCTGCTGTGACAGCACCAACAGGGGTCTCGGTTGTAGGCGGAAGCAGGTACACCCAATTGCTACAGATCTGAATCGCTTTGATCGCGTCACCAGTTCTCGATTGGGTCGTTTAGCTTTTTCCCAACAGGTCAGAGAAATTGACTTGAAGCTTTGCAGAGGCGGGACTGATGCTGCAACTGACATCATGTCCTGAAAACATCGCCACAGGAATTTCGTTCGAATGTTCCAATCATTAACTGAAAAAAAAATCCAGCACTCTTGGATTCCAAACGTGAACATCAACGCTTGTAGTTCATTCTCCTTTCCAAAGCATCAGCATCCAAAGAGCAGCCAAAGGCCTTTTGCAGCTGTTCTGCTTTCTATTTTTTATGCCTTCAAATGAATGCATCATCAGATTTCTGTGATGTCTGTGATTCTGACCTGGTGGACATGGCATCGCACAAACTTGGAAACCATTTTCAGTTGTCGAAACGCGACGTTAAGTAGAATCCATACGTCTTGAATCCAACAACGTAGGACTGTACAGTAGCACTTTTGGACTTGCAACCGTTAGCGTGAATGTGGCACTGGCACTTTTCGCACAGTGCTACTTCCCAGCCAGTTTTGGACAACACCACAAAGATAATCCACATGAAAACGTCTTCACTGACATTCTTGCAAGGCCCACATTGGAGCACCTGCAAGAATACCAAACAAACCTCCACCAACACTGAACCGCAGGCACAAGGGTGAGGAACAACTAGTCATTGTTTTAAGGTACAGCTCTCCAAACCTGAATAGTCTGGTCATCGGCAATTGAAGCAATCCAGTCCCCAGCAACGACAAGGGACCTCACATCTGGTCCATGCCCATCAAGTACTCTCAAGCAATCCCATGTGTCCAAACTCCAGACCGAAAAAGCTTCAGAGGGGCTCTTAGTAGCAGAGCACAGGCAGTGATCATGGATAGCCATAGCGGTCACCTCGTGAGTGTGTCCCTCAAGGACATGGGCGCACTCCCAAGAGCCCATCTTCCAGGCACGGATGCTTTTGTCATCTGAGCCAGAGAACAGCCACTCATTTGTCACTGCTAATGTCCCCACTGAGCTGCTATGCCCCTCCAATACACATTCACACTCCCAGCATCCTGTCCTCCAGACTCGAATTGTGTGGTCTTTTGAACCAGAAAACAGCCACGTGTCTGTGACTACCAGGGAACACACCCAGTCACTGTGCGCTTCAAGAACGCGGGTGCACTCCCAGTCATCTATCTGCCACACACGAATAGTCTTGTCCCAGAAACACGCAACCAGCCAGTCCTCGGTGGCTGCCAGTGAGAACACCTGGTGGCTGTGACCCTCAAAGACTCTGACACATTTCCAGGTGTTCAGCTCCCAAACACGGACGGTTCTATCGCCTGATCCTGAGAACAACCGCGTGCCATTTGTTGCCAGTGCACTCACTCTCCCTGTGTGCCCCTTGAGGATATGTACACACTCCCACGTCCCTAACCTCCAAATTCGGATTGTGTTGTCACCAGATCCTGAAAATAGCCATTCCCCCTCCGCAGCCAATGACCACACCCAATGCTCATGTCCTTTCAATATTTGCATTTTTCCAAACGACAAATTGGCCAGAATTTGCAGCAGGGAGGGCCCATCGTCAAGGAGATGGACACCTTCATTTGGAGGGCCCATCCTTGACAAATCCAAAAACCCCTTGATGGCACCTCCAACACTTGCTGCCAGCTCTTTCCTTTTCTCTCCGCCAACAAGGCTCTGCAATAGACTCTGCTTTTCCATTTTGGTCACTTTCATTACCTTTTCATCTTGTAGAAGTTGATGCAAATGGTGCCCAGCCCTCTGCAGTCCTTTTTTCAGGCCACTAGATGCAGGGTCGCTCCCCAGCGCATAGAAGAACCCAGCAATGATGGCAATTTTTGTGGCTTCCACTTTCTCCATGGGCACCGAAACACACATTTGTCAATACTGGATAGGCAAGAAGATACTGCAAACAGGATATGCCAACATAAACCTCAAAAAGAAAAGGTAGCACTGAAGAGTCAAGAGAGGTCTTGTGACTCAAGAGTCACACAAGAAAGAGTCTCAAGAAAAGGCAGCACTGAAGAGAGTGTGATGCAAAAGCATCACCCTTTCATGCAAAACAAACCACCTGCCAATTAGTTTGAACAGTCCAACTACTAGTATGACCAACAAGTGCTGCAGTGCATGTTCATCAAGCTTTGAAACAACTCTGCTGCCTGCACAATTGGTCAATTGGTCAATCACTGCTATCAGATGACCCCTCACTTTAAGGCCTGCACAACAATCCATGAATTCATTAGTGACTTCAAACTGGGCCTGACCAACCTGCATCGTTGTTGGCACCACCGCAAAAGCATCCACGGCTGATTTTTCTGCCGTCTTGTAGTCTTCCTTGCTTTCCTGGACTCCTGCATCTGATATGCCCCCAACTACGGCCAGCTTCAAGTACCTCACTGCTGTTTTGAGGTCCATCTCCCTTAGTGCTGTGAGTGCATTCTCCTGTCTTTGCAGCTCAGTGGTGACCGTCCTGTGCAGCTCCTCTAGCTCCATGTCATGAGACAGCTTCGAAGCTGCCAACCCACGAATGAGGTTGACAACAGTGTGCAATGTTTGCTTCAGCAGTCCTTCCATGGTATGCCTCCTGGTGAGGTGACACAGGTTTCTGTCAGGAAAATGAAGATGGGGCACAATTGCAGTGCCTCCCAAGTCGTGGCCTTGCTTGGTGCCCAATTTAGGGAACATGTTTTGATGTGAATCTGCAACAAATATCATCATCTAGGGTCCTTTCCTTAAATGCCATCATGACTGTCCTCTCCATGTGCTGATGTTCAGAAGCAAGGACTTGCAGTCAGTACATCAACGTGTGCAGTTCAAGGCATCATGTCATGCCAGGTGTCCAGCCTTTCCCCCTGTCGCGAAAGCAGGCCGCAAGCCGCCCACTCCTTCAACCTGGTGGCTCGGGACGTCGCAGTCGCCGCACAAGATTCATCGCCAACAATTGGACTATAAGTCACGCAATGTGCACGCACACATTCCCCGCCTTGGGCAATTTGCACGGCCCGTTTCTCCCCTGGAGGATCATATGACGCAGGGGTGGCCTCGAGCAACAGATGCACGTAGGAATTGTCAGTCGGCATCCCTTGTCCCCAAGACTCCCCAGCTACCACAGATGAAGCTGCAAAAAATATGATCCTTCAGCCCCTCGCAGGGCTGCCGATGGGCCGCGCCCTTGCAGGCAACCAATCCGCTGGTCAGTGGTCTTGTGCCGTCCTGTGATGGTGTCCCCTACCCACCAACCCCCGCCCGCCGTTGTGTGCTCATCATTTCAACTTGGAGACTCTACAGCATCTTTCTACAGCATGGAAAAGAGTCCCATACACACTTGCTGAGGAAGGGGGGCCCTTTGTATTGCCTGTTTCTTTCTCTTTCTCTATTTGTAACAAATCTTAAAACCCCCCTTTCCATGTCTCTTCCTGCGCGTATATGCACAAAGTCCAATCCTTTGAATGTCCGCGGAGCACCGCCCTAGAAACCCCAACGCTCCTCCTCCCCTGTGCCAGGAGTCGGGTCCAGCTTTCTTCGGGGGCGATCTTCCGGCGTTAGCACAGTCGCGGCGTGGTGCACCATTCCCAGTGGGTGAGACGAGATCACCTGCAATCGCCAACGATTGCTGAATGTCCGCGTTCGGCAGGGTGGGAGTGGGTTCGTGAGGGAGTGCTCCGTCGCGGTCTGTCCAGACGGACAGTCTTTGGCCTCTGGGGGCCCAGCGCGGACAAGGGGCTCCAAGGAGCTGGACTGTTGGTGAATGTTGCGCTCTATGTACAGTGAGTCCAGTGAGAAAGCCTGATTGTGGTCACATCGTCCGGAGTTGTCACTGGAGAGTAGCACTGTCCAAAGTCTTCGATCATGCAGTTTCAATCCCATGTTCAAATTTCTCTGGAAATGCCCTTTTGATTTGCTATTTTGGTCCCTTGAACAAATGCGGCTAGTGACTCTGCTTTGGCTCCATGTACGTGTAGGTGGTGGCATCAAAGTTTGGGGGGCGTCCTTGGTTTTTGATGAGGTTGGATCGGGTCCTTGAGGCCGGTGCCCTGGCCAGGATTCGCTGTTGGAGGAGGCCACCGTTGCTTCTGGGAGATGCAGCTTCAGGGGTCGCGCACATCGACATTAGGACTTGCAAGAAATCGAAGTCTAAATGCCGCTGGTAGCATTTCCTGGCCTTTCAAGGCGTTTCGGTCGCTTTCAAGCACCAGGGTGCAGTAAGGCAAGACGCTATGTCGATTTTGGTTCACTTAGCGTCAATTTGACATTAAGCTCGGACCCCCCCCCATATAGCGCCTGCAATACTGGTGGAAAAGGAGGGGTCTTGCCTCGTTAATTTGTCATGCCATCTTACCCACCCACCCACCCTGCTTAGCGTCAATCATTATGTCGAAGCCAGGATGACTCAGCAACATATCCTCACAGTGTATTCAGCTTCCAAGTGTTTCTAAGGAGAAGAACAATGAAAGTTGTGCTGATTTCAGTGGGTTGAAAAATGGGATTCTAAATGCCAGTATAGGCGAGGCAGGCAGCCTCAATGGCTGCAAATTGATCCGTTCTAAGGCCTTCTTTGAAGACCGAACACTTGCAACAGGCTGAGGAGTAGATTTGTGGGCTTTGAATTAGATTGATTAAATTGCACCATTTGGATAGCCAATTTTGTAAATATCTAAAATAGCATAAGGAATTGTTGCCAATGCTAATGATTTGGATGAATTCAATGAACTTCATGATGAGTGGACTACACGCTGCCCCACCGAAAGTAATAATCCGCCACACCAGGGACACAGGTGCCTTCACGGGCGTGGCCTGTGGCACCCCACCCCGCAAGATGCCAGACCGGTCAGGCGCGGGGAAAAGCAAGGCGGGCCGCGCCAAGCCGCGCGGCGGCGTCAAGAAGCCCACCAAGGCGAAGAAGGTCGAAAAGACGCAGCTGCCGGCGCACAAGCTCCAATCGGACGGTGAGTCACCACGGGGTTGGGCCGGTCTCCGATGGCCGAGCAGCGCCCATGCACGCGTTGGCCAATTTTTCCACGTGTGGTACTTCCTTGAGAAAGCAAACGGGGCCATCGCAGCTTGTGGGGGCGATTGAGGGCACGCGCACGTCGAAAAAATTTGCCCATCGTTCGTCCCTGCGCTCGCCTCCATGAGCCCACGCAAAAAACAGTGGCCGAGGGCAGAATGGCCTCCGTCGGGGTCCAATCTCCTCTCGCGCCCACCTGCCGCCTCCACCCTCCTCCTGAGGGTCTCGAAAGTCGCTGCCGCATCACCGGCCGTTTCCGTTTCTTGCGCCTCGCGTTGGTTATCTCGTTCGTTCTTTTTGGAGCCTGGCTGCACCAGAGCGGGATGGAGTGCGCTCAGGGAGCCTCTTTTCCCTTGTGGAACACATCGCGCGCAAGACAGTTGTCTCGAAATCGCACAAGAAATCTTCATTCACTTTTCCAAGCGCATCTTGGCTGGGAGCTCCATGTCCCATGTCTTGGGACTCGCGGGCGGCCCCCCTCATGGCTTCAGGGGTCGCTTCCCAATCGTGGGTCGCGGAGCGTTTGGGAATTCATCGGCGCGGCCAGATCCCCTTCACTTGGGCTCGCCCGCTCCTGGGGGACCTTTTCAAATTTTTTCCTTTTTTTTTTCTTGGGTGGACCCGCTGCCAACCTGCTCACGCCCACCAATCGCCGGTAACCGGCTGGGGTGACTCTGACCGGGAGCGCCCTGAAAATGTGCAAACCATGGGGAGATTTTGGGGTGGGATTGGCGTGTCCTGGCACAAGAATGGCGTGTGTGCACAACTATGTCACGCTCCTGGCCTTGCCATATGAAACAAGGGTTTGCCTGCCATCCTCAGCTGTTTCAGGAGGGGAAAGATTGTCACGCAGCGACACTCCACTCCCCACTCACCCATCCACCCACCCACACTCCTTTGTATGCTCTGTTTTCTCAGGATTGTAAAGCATCCTGATCCACCTATGAGTGCACACACCCATCGTCAAAAGTGTTGGGGACACTCTGTTGCGATTCTGTAAGTTTTGAATTGCCTGTCCTGGAAGGCAGCTTCAGGCGGTGAGCAGAAGCCTGGTCCAGCGTTTTGCTGATCCCCACGACCACATGTCACCCAAGGTACCCCGAATCAGGAAGAATCGACAAAGGATGCAAAGAATCGAGTGGAGAGTTGAGAAGATACCCAACAGGTCGAATCTCAGGAGCGCACATCCTGAGATGTTCAGTTCTGCAGTGCCCAAGATCGGGGCACATCGAGGACCCAAGCTGAACGTCTAAGTGGTTGGACTGTTGGAAATTTAGGCCCAAACACCCCCAACCCACAGCTGTGCTCCTGAATGCAGGCAGCAAACGCCTTTGGGAGATGTAAAAGTTTTGTGGGAAACCTCAAAGTTTTGTTGGAAGCCCTGTGGATGGGAAGGGACCCCGTGGCCACAGCGTGGCAAAGGTTTGCCACAGGTTGCACTCTGTGCGGTGGTCCACTTGCCCTTTCATCCCCAATCAGGGAGCACTCCTTTGCTCAGAATGTGGCTTCCCTGCAGGTGCCCCAGTCTGGGGTTGGGACTATCTGCAAGCGTGTTTGCAAGTTGTTGGCAGGTTGTGGGCAATTGCGCTGCCACTGCAATGATCTGGCAATCTAGACAGTGGCACATGGAACCAGTAGGATTGAAAGAGCAACTCCAAAAGTTGCTTTTGGGATCGGAACAGCCACATGTGCTTCTGGCCTGCTTAGAATGCAGCAGCACATGCATCCAGTACTTTAATAATTGCAGGGAGGGGAGGAAGATAAGACTGTTGTGGACTTGTTTCAGGTGAGGAAGATGCTGAGATGGTGGTGTTGAGGGCATTCGACCTTGAGACCAAGTACGGACCTTGCTGTGGGATGACAAGGAGCGAGAGGTGAGTGCTCAAAACCTGCTTGTGTTGCAGCACAAAAGACAATGAGGTGCACAGTCCATGCACTTGCACGTAGGCGATGCTGAGCAGGCATTGGGGATCATGATCAGAGTGCAGTGCTAGGCAAGTGCTGCTTGCCATGGAACACAGTCTTCCCAGAGCAAAGGCTCATTTTTCATGTTGTTTCAGCAGATGCTATCAAGGTTGCTCACCTCATGTGTCATTGTCATCCCATTGATGTGTGGGAATTTTGCACCGTGAAGGCGACCATCACCTGCAGGGCTACTGGTGTGCAACAACTTGTCTGATTGCCGAATGGCGCTGTGATAAATGGGAATAGGCCGGCAGATGTATTGTGTGCTTCCGCCTAGTGCATCCACACTCTACACGCGAGGTTTACACACATTCTTGTTAGACTGAACTGAAATGGGATTCCATTCATAGCATGTGGAGCAACACAAATTGAAGTCTTGCATTGTACACTGGTCTTAATGCTTTATGAACATGGTGTATTCAACACAGTTCTGCACAAGAATTGTGCCAGCTCATTCTTAGCAGACTTATTGATTGTTTGGCTGGTGTACTTGATGGTTCATTCTTCTACCACCAAGCTATTTTGCAAAGAAGCGCTTAGCTGCTTGATGGCTGGTTTGCATCTCTTGGTTCATTGTGGTCCCCGGGTTCATGTCAAGATTCAAGAGGATCATCAATCTGGGACTGAATCCCAGACATCTGTGGACAAGTATTCACGTTTCTTCCACGTTTGTTAGAGTCGAGTACTTTCCCCAACCAACTGACCCAAAGGAGAGGGCAGCTGAGACTGGACCTGCAGTCTCCAGGGGCCACTGCACCCTACAATTTATATGTCCATATTTCACTGCCTGTCAATTTTCAAGCCTTTGCCTTTATAACGCTTTATATGTTGAGGGCTGTTTCTCTTACATTTTCACCACATCTTGATTTCCTTCAGACTTTCTATGCACATATATGGATTTTGGTCTCTGGCTGTTTGAGCAGGTGGGAGAGGGCCTCGAAACTGGGCCTGGAGCCCCCAAGGGTAGTGCAAGAAATCCTTCAGAAGTACGGGGACCAGGACAGCATCGCTCAGTGCCTGTGGAGTGGCCGTATCTGATGCCGCGATGTGCTGGACGAGCATCACTGCCAGAATGCTGCTGCGCATGGTGGAGCACAGGGCAAGGCCACTGCTGCCGTAGTGTGCAGAGCAGCTTCGCTGTTCTGATTGGATGGATGAGGCACTGCGCTAGGGGCACTCCTGGCCTGAAGAGGGGTATCTTTCCAATGCCAGGCCTTGCGCTGCCCGTCCGTTAATCATAATGGTCGCCAGCACTGCTCTGTGTCAACACCAGGTTTGAATGAGATTGACCAAAGATCGTTGGAAGGGTGTAGATCGCTTCCTTTCCGTTGTCGATTGTTCAACAGAAGAATTCTAGCTTGGGTCGCGCAGTACAGTCTCTTGGTGGATCAAAATGGCGGTGGGTGGGTGGGTTGGCTTGTGTTAAGGCGGGTGGCCGTGGGGGTGCGGGTGGGGGTGCGGGTGGGGGTGGAGGTGGGGGTGGAGGTGGGTTTTCGGGGAATGACTGGAACGGAAGTACTGTGATATTGTTGCCATATTGCTACAATTCTGGATCAATTGCACGTTTGGCTGGAGGGGCGACCAGGGGATGTCCTTGCTCAGTTTCTCAAATTCGGAGCTTGGCGTGGATAAGAACTACTCCATGCGCATAGGCACTTCCTGGGACTTGCCGTGAACCACAGGCGACGCTGCATCAAGGCGTTTGCTCCTGACTGCGCTATCACTTGTCGTTAATTTACTCATGTAAGGGCACGATTGCTTTGAATGGTCTGCCGGTGCAGCAATCGATGCTACTTGGAAGTGGTCGTGCTCGCTGCGTTGGACTGAAATACACTTTGAGCATGGGCAGCTCCGTCGTGAACGCTGATCAACGCCGCCTTGCAGGGTGCTGCCTCTGAATGCGCTGTCGCGCTTCTCTATTTGCCTCATGCAAAATAAATAGCACCGAGGATGGGCTAAAATGCCCGAAGTCTCTAGATTTCGGGCCCAAACCACCCGCCCAACCCACCCACCCCCCATACCCCAATAAAGGAGCTTCTTGACACCGGTCGCCATGCGACTGACTATGTGCAACGCAGAGTTGCCATTTGTAGTCGTGGCGTTGGTTGTAGACTCGAGATGTCCATGCAAATCACTGCCATTGCAGAATCGGGCTTAGCACTATTCGATTGTAGGTGTAGACCATGGCTTCGATGAACAAAAAAGATTTCACCTGGGGCTTGAAATCTAGATTTTTGCCAAGTTGACAATCTTTTGTAGAAATTCTGCTGCCATGGACGCGACAGATATAAGCGCTAATGCTGCCACAAAATTTATAACGAGATTGTGGTCGCTTGAAGACTAGAGATGCAATTGACTATCTGTGTGTAAAAACCAAAACATGCCAGATAATAGAGGTGCTGGGCATTGCCATGAGGAAGGTTCCCTGTAAGATTACTACCGTTTTGAAGAAAATTACTTCTGGAGTATTGTAAAAGATTTCTTGCCCCACCCGTGGAGGGTGCAAAATCCACCGCACAGATAGGGTTTAATATATAGGATATGAAGGGTAGGAGATGGAGATTCCTATAATCCGAAATCTCAGGCCTCCTGGAAAGCTGAGCTCCTGGCCTCATGATGTTAGTGATCCTTACAGCTGTTGCAATGGACTAGTATCGCAAATACATCAATAACTGGTCATGAACTGTAAAAGAGGATCGCCATCAGCACCCTTAATGTCCATTACGAGTTCTCACAAGATAAGGTATCACTTGGTATGTGCCTTGCTGCTTTTCACATTTTTCATCACAAAATTCACGTTGCCTGTAAGAATGTTCATTCAATCATTCCTTCATTCATTCCATCACAACACAAACAAATGCAGTATTGCCACACGCCAGCAAACAGGCAAATTGTCTCGTTATCGCGCATCTCCATGCTCGCTATGTCATTACACCATTGCAATTTCACTGCACGGAATTTCTGCCACAGGCTCATTCCAGCCGCAGCTCATAATGAACTGAGCTGCACAAGTGCACTGTATTGTACATTATGCAGCCAGAACATCGGCATGGATTTTTGGCAATCTTCCCTTTGCATTTTCTTAAAGTTGCATTTCCATCCATGTATTATCGCAGGTCTTCTTGCCACGTCCACGTACCATCGCAACGCTGCCCTTGAGGTTATACACAATACAGGTCACGAGTTGTTATTCACGACTTTGAATGCCGGATGGACAACTCTCTGCAATGTGTCTCGACGGTTATCGCAAATGGCCAGGGTTGCCAAACGCACATTCCACCTCAAGACCCAGGGAGCTCAGACGCCTCGCTCTCAGAAATTTCCCACAGGCCCTACAGCAAAGTAACAGGTACTCCTTATCGAGCTGCGATGCGACGGCAATACATGGCGTTGAAGGCCGTACAAAAACAGAGCATGGCACCACTTCCGTCTTCACGACTGCCCCCAAGCGAACGACCATATTTCCATCAGCTGATAAGCCTTGACGGGCATCAAACACCGTAATATGCCACTCGAGCCCAACTCTTTGAAAACGGCAGTTGGTAACCTGATGCATGCAAGACAACACTCTCAATATGGGAGGCCTTCATGCTCTTTTGCCATGTTTTTTTAAAGTCTTCCAAGAAGAGGTAGGGAGAGCGTTGGGGCTAGAAAGTGCTCGTCATTAGAAAGCTGTTAGAGTGCGATAGTTGTATTTATCCGTTGGATACCTTATTTCCTTGGTCGCCGCGTCTCACATTGCCCAATGCTGTAATAAAATGTGGCAGAAACCCAAGCTGTTCCTCTCATTTGTTACTCACTCAATATCACATTCCCGCTTCTCATAATCCGCGACATACTCTATATACGACGTTGCATGACACTGTGCCAGAAACTCAAGCCGCTCCCTTCATTCGCGATTTTCACGAATGCCGTTCCCGCTCATCAGATCCGCCTCATATGCTCAGAGACTAATGCTCTAATTGTCGAGTCCCTGGCATCCTGTTAATGTTAGCGTTTCATGCTTTCCCACGTCAGCCACCAAATTCGCTAAAAATTGCGCCGAATCAGTCATTTCTTGAGCGATGCGGCCGTAGCACTGCTAATTTGTTTGTTTTGGAACTGCCCTCAAACGCGCCAGTTCACGTCTAGTCCAAATCCTCAATGTCTCTCCAGCGGAATTTGCGCATGCTCTTTGTTCCCACGAGCGACACTATGCGATTGTCCACATTGCTGGACTGTGTCCTCAAGCAGCGTCAAATGTCGTTGACGTCCGGGACATTGATGTGAATGCAGCATGAAGAATAGCTAGTTTAAATAGCTGACTCAATAGCCTTTAGTGCCCACATCATGAATCCAGTCAATTTTAATTTTGTTGAAATTTTAAAATCATTGAGCTTGTGATTGGTGATTGTGCTTCCATAAAATGTCTTCATCAGGAAACAGGCTTGTTATTTATGGCATCAGCGCAGATAATATATATGGTTTAAAACCATAGAATTGTAAAAAATAGCGAAAATTATCAAAAAATTCGCCATAAAGTAGTATTGACGTCTTAACGCATAAACATGTGTACATGCGTAAATACAGGACCTGTGTACATAAAGACAATGCATGCAGACTCAGGGAGTCCGGGGAGCGGCAGCCAGACAAGCTTCAGTAGGCTGAAGA